CAGTCAATATAAAAAAAATTGATTTACTTCAATTACTATTATTATTACTTACTATTTAATAAATTTTATTAAATATGATTATGACAATATCTTCAAAGATATTTCTTGAATTAATATCCTATATATAAAATATGTACATGAGATATAAAAATATACAAGATATATATAACCTATATATTATATTATTATATAATACATATATATATATATATATATATAAATTATAAAATTTTTTATCAATAACTTAGGTAAAAAAGACAATCAAATTAATTAGATTTTGACGCAGTTTTTTTTGTTCTTGAACATTTATATTTAAATGATAAAAACATCTTTTTAAAAATAATCAAGAGATGGCGCTGATCCTCAGTTCTTATATTATCTCTATTCTTTTTCTACTATTTGTTTTTATTTATACTTATTTTTGATTCAGATGAAGTATGAAATGTTAATTGATCGTATTTTCAACATTTTATTTTCAAAATTTAAATGTTATTTATATAAAAGAATAGAAAAGATATATTAAATTTTTACAATATATCTTTAATATAAAAATCTTGCAAAATGTAACATATTCTAAACATATCATACTAGTACTTTGATGCCAGAGACCATTTGGCGTAGAAACAAACAAAATAGGAAGACAATTTGAAACATTTTATTTAAAAACGAAGCTATTGAAAATTCGTTTGTCGAATTTTTTCTTTCATTACTTACAATTTTGTAAGTAAAAAATATAATTTTAAAATTCTTAGAACAAAAACTAATTAATAAAACATTATTATATACAACTAATTAATTGTTAACTAAGACAACAAAAATTATAATCATATAGTTTTAATAAAAAATTATAAACATAATATTAATTTACAAATTAAAATTAGAATGTATCAAGATTTAGAGTGCCCTCATATAATATAATATATTTGGATATAATTTTAATTATTGAATCAACGAATTAAAGAAACAGATTTAAGAACAATTAAAGAATTAAAGAATTAAAGAAGTATAATAATTCGATCGAAAGCTCATAATCTGAAGGATTGTGGTCTATATTGTCTACTATCTGGTTTACAAATAATAATTTAAGATATTAACAAATATTATTGTTATTATATAATAATAATTATATAATAATTATTATATAATAATAATAATAATTTATACATTTTGAATACTGGTTGCCATGTATAAATATATAGAAATAGTAGATGGGTGACGATCACATACTGACACTATTATTGATACATATATATAACATTCAATGTAACAACAATTTTTATTTTAAAAATTATTAAATAAATTTGAACAATCTGGAATAATCATTATAGTCCTAGCAAGCAAACTTTGAAGCATAAATTTTTGATTTTTTGATTCATTATTCCAATAACTAAAACAGAGTCAAATTATTATTCATTACATCGATTCTATAAAAAGTTTGGATTCTTTTGTCATAAATTGTTTATTTCAAGGTATAACGAGATGTATGATGAATCTCTCTCTAAACAACTTTCTCCAAATATATATACATTATTAAAAACATACAACATTAAATTAATTATTTAAATTTAATAAAGAAATAATAATATTTCTTTATCTTTAATCACATTAAATTTATTTTATTTTTAAAAAATATATCAATATTTTACATTCATTATAGCCATAAAAAATAAATTAATAATTAAAATAAATAAATATTTAGATTTTATAATCTTATTTTATAATTATTATCTAGATGTATCAAATTGTCTAATATTATGATATTAGAATTCATATATTTGATACTTTGATATTTAATATAAATATATTATATATGTTATCAGATATATTATTAGATATCTAAATATAAAGTATATTATTATTGTCGATTATCAGATTTTCTTATCTTTTTAATACTATGAAACACTATTATTGCTATATTTCTTACGAAAAATTTAAAAACTTTACATAAAATTTAATATTTTTTACGTAAAATTTTTTTTTTTATATATTTCTATAATTCCAACGATTTTTATTTTTATTAATCAACTTCAAAATTAAAAAAAAAAATCAAAATTAAAATTTGTAAAAAAGTTATTAAATCTTTAAGAATGGAAAAAATAAATATGATATATATGTATAAATAGAATTTTGTTTTTTTAACAGATATTCTCTCGATAATTTTTTCATTAAAGTTAAAAAGTTTGCAAATTATAATAAATTCAACATGTTCGTTTCATTCCGGGATTAATAGAATCGCAAAACCGCAATGTAAATATACCTAATCCTCCATTATACCTAATGAAAAAAATATATCTGCTAACCAGCCTAAGAAAGTAGTGAAAGGTTATCGCGTACGGTCAAACTAACTCGTTTGATCATCTGAAATAAGAAAA